CACGCACGCTCGCACGTACATACGCACGCTCGCACGTACATACGCACGCATGCACGCACCTGTACGTGCATACGCACGCACGCAAGCACACACGTACGCATGCACGCACGGGTACGTACACACGCACCCACGCACGCATGCACGCACGAGTACGTGCACACGCACGCACGCACGTACATACGCACGCATGCACGCACCTGTACGTGCATACGCGCGCACGCAAGCACACACGTACGCATGCACGCACGGGTACGTACACACGCACCCACGCACGCATGCACGCACGAGTACGTGCACACGCACGCACGCACGCACGCACATGTACGTGCACATGTGTACCTGCAAACGCACGCACACACGCATGCACGTACACGTATGACCACACGCATGCACGCATGTGTACGTACACACGTACGCACGCACATACGTGTACGTGCAAACACACGCACGTTTGCACGCATGTGTACGTGCACACGCACGCACGCACGCACATACGCACGCATGCACGCACCTGTACGTGCATACGCACGCACGCAAGCACACACGTACTCATGCACGCACGGGTACGTACATACGCACCCATGCACGCACGAGTACGTGCACACGCACGCACGCACGCACGTGGACGTGCACACGCACGTACACACGTGAACGTGCACACCCACGCACACATGCACGTACATGTATGACCACACGCACGCACGCACTTGTACGTGCACACGCACGCACGCACACACGTGGACGTGCACACCCACGCACGCACGCATATATATTGTCAGCGCGAATATAGGTGGTGTACGACAGTAGGGGGGCTCTTCTGCAGGTCATACATGTACCTACATACATACATGAATCTCAATAAACATATTACATAACTCCTCAGCACACAAAAAAGAATAAACACCCACTTCCCCCACTCTATCCCGTGTGTGCATCTGGGTACGCGGGTAATCTTCACCTCTGCAGATGTGCTGCCCTCCAGCGGCAACTGTTTCTAGCGGCTAACCCCATTGGGGAATATTATTTTAAAATTTTAAAATTTGGGTATGTTCTATATGGTGGTTAACATGTTCCATAAACAATTTTACAAAAATACTATATCATAGAATATGTACTGGTAAATGTGACTAATTTTCTACAAGTACCCTAACAGCACTTACTGCCTTAAGAAATCGGAAAAGTTGACGAGCGATGAGGCGAACGTTGACTTGACGACTGCCGTCCAGTAAGGCGAATAGGAGAGATACTTGGATATAGGCTACATTGGGAACTGTTTGGTGATGAGTAGGCTCGACCATGACTCCTCATTACATCCTGAATGGTGCTTTTTGGGTGGTGGCAAGAAGGGAGAAAACTGTTGAAGCCGTTTTCCAGATCTGGTTGTAGCCTCTGGACCAATCATCCCTCTTAACTTGAGTCACTGGATAAGAAAACTAGAATAGAAAACACTCGCAAAGTTATGGCAACAATCGTAACTTTACCATAAGCAAGCAAATAGCTCAACTTATTGTGTGCAGAGGATGGATATTAATTTTCTTCTTGACGAATTCGCATGGTTTTTGAGCACTTCAATAATTGANCACGCACACACATGCCACACGCACCCCCGCACGCATGCACGCACGAGTGACCACACGCACACGCACGCACACACGCACGCATGCACGCACGGGTACGTACACACGCACCCACGCACGCATGCACGCACGAGTGACCACACGCACACGCACGCACACACGCACGCATGCACGTACATGTATGACCACACGCACGCATGCACGCACGGGTACGTACACACGCACCCACGCACGCATGCCCGCACGAGTGACCACACGCACACGCATGCACACACGCACGCATGCACGCACGGGTACGTACACACGCACCCACGCACGCATGCCCGCACGAGTGACCACACGCACACGCATGCACACACGCACGCATGCACGCACGGGTACGTACACACGCACCCACGCACGCACGAGTACGTGCACACGCACGCACACACGCACGCACATTTACGTGCACACGCACGCACACACCCACGCACACGCGCACGCATGCACGTACATGTATGACCACACGCACGCACACACGCACGCACGCACGCACTTGTACGTGCACACGCACGCACGCACGCACGCACGCACGCACTTGTACGTGCACACGCACGCACGCACGCACACACGTGGACGTGCACACCCACGCACGCACGCATATATATTGTCAGCGCGAATATAGGTGGTGTACGACAGTAGGGGGCTCTTCTGCAGGTCCTACATGTACCTACATATATACATGAATCTCAATAAACATATTACATAACTCCTCAGCACACACAAAAGAATAAACACCCACTTCACATATGCACCACTAATATCACCGTGAATCTCAATAAACATATTACATAACTCCTCAGCACACACAAAATAATAAACACCCACTTCATATACCGGACGGCATATCACAGTCTGATTTAGAAAAACTATAACTTATCAGCTACGTGCTTTCGCAAGTGCTTTTCGTAGAATAGCTACAAACGTGGAAGCATGCTGAGTTTGCCAAACTCTACATCTGCGTTAATGATTTCAATGTACATGTCCTCAAATGTGTACACAATAAAATGACAATACAGTTTCTTTGTGATGAGGAGCTGTCCTTGAATCTGGAAATAATAGTTGCGATTCCGCTTGAGCTGAAGAGCTGCTGCTCGCCATAATCTATCCCGGGCGTGCATCCGGGTACGCGGATACTCTTCACCTCTGCAGATGTGCTGCCCTCCAGCGGCTACTGTTTCTAGCTGCTAACCCCATTCACGAGGTATCCTGAGTTGTACGAAGGGGGCGCTGCATGCAGTTTGGTGTTTACGTACAGCTAGTCAGGGTATAGGTGTACGTCGTGGTGGTGGTGGTGGGTCTCTATAAATTAACGCAGCAACGACGTGACATGATGCCGACAACGGCCGCTGCCATCGTCACCTCCTTCGTCACAGCTCATATTATTATATAGAGAGTGAAAGAAGCCAGTAATACGAAAGGGTACAGGGCGTATACAATAGATGGTCTAAGGACCGGTCGTGCTTTTACGCGTTGTACGCGTGTGTACGTGCGTACGTGCACGCGTACGTGTGTGCGTGCGTGCGTGCGTGAGCGTGGCCGGGGCATGTACAAATATCAAGAAGAAGAATGAAATCGGAAGAAGGATGTTAACGATGTACGATAAATATATAATTGCGTTTGCTACCGCGTGTGCCTGGGATATATTAAATCCTTTATCACAAACCTCGATTTATCTCTCATTAAAACTTTAGCAGCTTAGTGGCGCATTTGTTTCAGTAATTGGCCCAGTATTATTTGGTAACTGGCTGCCCGTTAGAGTTAGGTATGCTCACATGTTAAGTATCATGATGTGTTGTCTCATGGGATGGTTCCATGTGATTATCTCCTGTGATTGTGTAATGTGATTGTATCATGTGATTATATCGCGCGATTGTATCGTGTGATTGTGTTGTGTGATTGTATTACGCATGATTGTATCATGTGATTGTATCGTGTGATTGTGTTGTGTGATTGTATCACGCATGATTGTATCATGTGATTGTATCGTGTGATTGTGTTGTGTGATTGTATCACGCATGATTGTATCATGTGATTGTATCGTGAGATTGTATCGTATGAATGTATGTATCATGTCATGCTATCATGCGATTATATCGTGCGATTGCATTATGTGATTGTATCGTGTGGTCGTATCGTGAGATTGTATAGCGTGTGATTGTGTCATGTCGTTGTATCGTGTGATTGTATCGTGTTGCAGGAGGGCGAGGGTAGGTGGCTGTCGCTGGACGCTGAGCTGGTCATGAAGGATGGAGAGGTGGTTGGCAGCCACACACCAACTGGCTTCAGTGTGCTGCTCGACTCGCGCTTCGAACTGCCTTACGGTGAGCACACACATCGTTATTACAGCAGTCTGTGTGCGAGTACGTTGTTGTGTGTAATAGATTATCATCAGTATCAGCGTCGTCGTCGTCGGCATCAGCGTCATCGTCGTCGTCGTCCTCGTCGATCGACGTCATCGTCAGCATCATCATTATTGTCATCAACAAGGTTATCTCAAAATCATCATCAATATCTTAATCATCGTCGCCTTCTCTCTCTCATCCTCTCCTCTCTGTTCCCACTCTCTTTCTTTCTCTATCTCTCTCTCTCTCTCTCTCTGTCTCTTTCTTTCTATATATCTCTCCCTCTCTCTTTCTATCTAACTCTTATGTGTTTATGTGTATGTGTTTGTGCGTGCGTGCGTGTATGAGTGTTCGTGCGTGCGCGCGTGTAGGCCCTATAGATAGAGAGTAAGATTACGGTGTAGGTTTTTTCACCAGTTGCGTGAAATTGCATTATGGCTGTTCATTCGGCGCCACCGTGTAATAGAGCTAAAGTTGATTCCCCACTTTTGTCGGCGAAGGTTGCTTCGCTCTGGGGCATCTTATAGTGTCTGTTTGATGCGTGAATTACCACTGCCTGGCCTGTAAAGCACTCATCTCTATATATACTAACATATTATCGTTAGTATATAGAGAGATCAGTGCTGTAATCCCACACGAAGGTCGCGTCTGACGTCACGGCCGCCATGACTGACGTAACGTGGCGACGCTGCTGCCACCGTTCATATGCTGGCACAAACTCCACGACAGATGGCGCTCTCGCTCTGGCTCAATTCTACCACTGCCACAAGCTGATTTCCGTAAGAATTTCTTACGCTTTTTTACTATAAGTTTTACCAGCGACTCGTTACTCCTGTCTATGTAATACGGTGTGTACTTATAAAAGCTGCAAAGTATTAAAAATCCACCATTATTTTATGAGAAATTTGATAAAATAGTGATACGAAATAGTGCGCCCATTTACTACTTTCAAATCATTACGCTGTTTACTAAACTAAGTTCACGTATTTATCATGAATTTTTGGGATGATTGCCATATACCTTTTATTACCTCGAACATTGTCTTTGATACATTTTTGCGTATTCAGCTTAAAACATCTAATTTTGTCCACCAACAAACATGCAATCATAGAAATTTCTAATGTGTTTGTTCGACGGCGACTTCGCCGCCGTTGGATTGCCATTCGCTGGATTTCCCCAGAGCTCCACCCACTTTAAAAATAGTGCTAGCATTGTGGCAGTGTATTATCCTGAGTGTGGGAAGGGGCACTGCATGCAGTTTGATGCTGGCAGTGTTGATGGGCAACAGCCGGTGAATAGTAAATTTAGAGCTGGTGGGTAAACAGTCTTGGCAGTAAGCGTAAAACCCCGGCCAGTCCTGATTTCAATGATGATTCCTACTATATATTTGTATCCCCCGAACGAAGTTCGTGGGATACTATGGGTTTGGCATCGTCGCGCCGCCGCCGCCGCCGCCGCCGCCGCCGCCGCCGTAGAGATTTCCTTGTGAACGCTCTTACCGCGCTGCAGTTCTTCTCGGATCATCTTAAAATTTCGAATGAAGTGCGTTATCGTAAAGCGAAGACACCTATTGTTTTTGGTGTGGGCGGAGTCATCGTTGCCATGGTAACAACATTTTTTGTCGAAATATTCTATAACCTGTAACTTCTGCACTTTTTACCCAATTGTCATGAAATTTATATTTGTATTAAAATTTATATTAAAATTTATATTAAAATTTAAATTTAAAAATAAAATTTAAATTTAAAAATAAAAATTTAAATTTAATTTGTATTTAAATTTATATTTATATTTATGATTGTCATCAGGACATGTTATATCGGCCCTGTGTGCCAAATTCCATGACAATCGGGTAAAAACAGACAAAGTTACAGGTTCTACAATATTTCCACAAAAATGTTGTTACCATGGCAACGATGACTCCGCCACACAAAACGATTGGCGCGTCTTCGCTTTACCATAACGCACCTTCATGCCAAATTTGAAGATGATCCGAGATCGGTAAAAACTGCCCACCAGGTCACTTCGACTTTATTTCACCTTTACCTTGACCTTGATCATATTTCTCTTCCGCTCTCTAACTCAGCCCCTAATTGACCTAGCGCGACCAAACTTGGTATGCTTACACATCTTGGGGAGAAGGTCTGTCGCATACCAAAACCACCACTGCCCTTGACCTTAGTTTGACCTTCACCGTCGACTTACATCTCCTCTTCGGCCTCCTAGGGTAACCAGATTCCATATACTTGCACATCTGAGGCACACCAGTTGTCTAACAAACCTTTGTCTTTGTGACTTATTTAACTTTACACTGCCTTCTACGTCTTTCAGAGATATTCTATTCATACTAGATCACGGGGATACATGTAGTTGGCGACAACTGCTCATTTCTAGTTTAATATAGTATTGTATAGTATATTATTATATGATTTATTATTATTTTTATTATCATTTATATTATATATATATATATATATATTATGGTAATACTTACTATTATTAACCTACAGTCAAATCCATAAAAAATCAGCGTGTCCTGCTTCAAAGCCAAAGGTTACCGGTGTCGGACCCGGTATGGGGGGGGGGAGCGACGGGAACTGTTTACAACACTGATGATAAATTAAGCCTAACTCTCATCGCTCTGTGTGACGTCATTGCGATGGGTTAATTAGCTGGTTTACCGTGCGTCGATGATTCATTCACGTCCTCATCCCTTTTCAACCGTATTTTATAATGTGCACATGCGATTAAGCATTGAGTCCCAGAAAAGTCCTGGAATGATGCTTTACCTTAGGTGCAACGGCAGCTGTAAACACCAGCTATGTATGACTAAGAAGAAAATGCCTTCGAACTCATGTTTACTAAGACGCAAAAGGTCGGCATTAGTATTGTCAATCATTAATAATGACGAGGCCGGAAGTCGTTCCGTACGTAGCTGCCTATGTGCGCAGCAGCAGCATGACGCATTTCCTGTCTAGTTCTATTATGTAAACGTGATATTTTGAAAAAGGATTATATTAATGATTGCCTAATTACATTTTGCTAATTTTAATTTATTATATTATCACTCTATTACATTATATTATTACTCTATTATCTACTCCTGATATTATGTATATGAGTATAGGTATATATATATATATGAGTGAGTGCGCATGCGCGTGCGTGTGTTCGTGCGTGTCGATACGTGTGCGCGTGCGTGCGTGCGTGCGTGTGCGCGCAAGCGTGTGTGTGTACGCTTGGATAATCAACACGGGAAATTCATTCTGCTCTACGCAGAGAAGCGTTGAATGTAATAACGAAATAATTAAAGCGAAGGCAGTTTATTCGCACATTAACGGTATAGCACTCGCTGCTCCCCTCCTCAAACCCATTCAATAGCGAGCATACGCTGCGATGTACATAATTCGTTCTGAATCTTCCAAAAATATATATTATATATAATTATATATGTATATTATATAAAATTAATTATATATATATGTATGTATATATATGCCGACACAACCAGGCGAGCGTTGTTTGAGTGATGCTTGCCG